TCATTGACATACCCAGCAGTAATGTCTTATGAATGCTCCATGACTGGTTCTTCATCTCTGGAAGTTCTTACTGAAAAATTATGGCCATCAATGGTAGAACTCCCTCTTAACTTATCCATGTCAAAATTCATGACAACATCATCTAAATCAAGCTCTATGTTCCCCTTTTTCACATCAATGATGGCGCCAGCTGTAGCCAAGAATGATCTTCCCAGAATAAGAGGATCTTTAGGTTCTTCAGCGTATTTCAAAACCACAGTCTGTGGGAATCATGCAGCCTTCAATGTTAACAGGAACATCGTCTAAGATACCTTATGGGGATACCTTATGGGGTTCTTGTGGATCGATCAGCTAGGATAAGAGAGATCCCTGGTGGCTTGAAATCAGTCATTCCAAGTCTAGCAGCAACAGAGGGAGGCATCAGGTTAATACTTGATCCTAGATCATAAAGAGAATGAGGAAACCTTCCTGTTGAGATTGAGCAATCAAGCACAAAGTTTCCTGGATCAGGTAGCTTCTCTGGAATTCTGCTTTGAATTATGGCACTGACTTGATCAGAAACAGTCACCTTCTTCACCTTCTTCTTCTTCTTCTTCTTCTTCTTTGGAATTGTACCCAAGAGAATGCACTAATGTCTCTGGTAAGCAATGCTCCTTCCTCAATACTTACACCATTAAACCATTCTCTTAACATACCTTCTTAGTGCAGGTGAAAGCTTGATTGCATCAACAAAAGAAATCTCAACCATCAGCTTGTCTATCATTGCCTTGCATCTCGCTTCTTCTATCTCATGTTTAGACTTCCGAGGATGCTTGGGGAAGGGTTTCTTGAGTTTATAAACTTGTTCTTTGCCATTATCTGCAGTTACAGACGAAGCAGCATTGTTCTGGGGTGGGTGACGATCGTCACCAGGGGGGTGACGCTCGTCACTGATCGGGGACGAGTCCTTCATGTCGGGCCTTTGTAAAGTGGGTGACGAGCGACACCCTTCCTTGGTGACGCTCGTCACTCCCTCTGAGACTGTAAAATTTTCATCTTCAAACTCCATCAATTGCATGATATGCTCTGCACTCAACCTCTTTTTTCTGCACTGTTTTAAGCTCTTTTTCACTCCTGACTGTGATGGCATTAACCGGTGCTTGGGATTGATATCAGTCCTTCCGGGAAGGAATTCCTCTTGCCTTTGAACAGCTCCTGCAGTTTGAGTAACCTGAACATCCAGCTTCTTCATCTGAGAGTTCAGACTCTCAATTTTTTCATTCAGATCTTCGTACAGCGAATCTAGCTTCCCATTAAAGTCCACTGTCATCTTCTGCTGTCCTTCTAGGATCTGTTTCAGCATAGCTTCCATCTTGATGTCTTGTGGAGGTGCAGTTTGATAGGAAGAATAATCATAGTTCTTGTTGAAGTTGCTGCTGTTCTGATATGGTTTTTGAAACTCAGTCTTCTGGAATTGTGGCTGTGGCATGTAACCAGAAGAATTATGGTTTCCTGTGAAGGTACTCTTCTGATTATTGTCATTGTTGCCCCTGTTCCACTGCTGATTACCAAACATTTGACCCTGAAATCCTCCTGCATTGATGAAATTAACATTCTCCTGCTCAATCTCCTCAGGATTTGCGAAAGTCTCCACTTCTGCAGCAAACTGGACTGATTTCTTTCTCACCAGAAGGCTATGCATACGGTCTAGCTTAGCCTTAACCTCAGCAGTTTGGTTCCCATCATTCAAGCCAGCTTGTTTCATCCTCTGAAAATCAGCATTCTTGGTGTTGTTACTGCAGGCCAAGTTTTCAATCAGAGTGATTGCAGCTTCAAGAAGGTTTGTGTTGAAGTTGCCACTGCTAGCAGCATCCAACGCCATATGATATTTCCAGTCCACTCCTCTGAAGAAAATTTCAAGCAGCTGCACCTGATTGAAACCATGATGAGGACAATCTCTCTGATAAGATTTGAATCTCAGCCAAGAAGCCTTAAAAGCTTCAGTAGGTCCTTGGAAGAATGAAGCAATTTTTGTTCTCAACTCTTTTGACCTTGCATCATCATAGAAATTGTTCAGAAAAGTGTTCTTGGTCTCCTCCCAAGTGGTCAGCGATCCAGGCTCAAGTTGCTTTAGCCAATAAGCAGCATCTCCTCCAAGAGAGTAAGGAAACAGCTTGCAGAACAATCATTGCTAACTCCATTGGCCTTGACACTTGAAGCCAAATCCTCAAACCTCTCTATGTGATCCATATGATGCTCATGTGGTAAGCCATTAAAAGGATGCTGACCCACAATCTGATAATAAGCAGGCTTGAGCTCAAAATCTTTTCTCTGGAAAGCAGGAGGGCGGATTGCAGCTCTGTTGGCATAAAACTGGTCAAGTCTGTTGTAATCTCCTAGAGTCCTCTGAACAAAACACCCAGCAGTGTTTCCAGCAGCTACTCTAGCGTCATTCGCCACTTGTTGAACCACCTGTTCAGCTATGACATTCCCATTCTGATCCAGTCTTTGTCCTTCTTCATTCCTCCTGTTTCCATCTCTATCAACCAAGTGACCCTTTGCATCTTCAACCAAGACAAGTGGAGCAACCATTGTAGACTGTTTCTTAGCTTTCTTGATGGTCCTATCCAACTTAGCTATTTCGTCAATGCCCAAAGTCACAAGCTACTTCTCTTTGTTGCTGCTGGTACTACGATTAGGCATACACCTGAAACCAGCACAAAGAAAAGTAGCAAAAGTTAGTAAACAAATAAAAACTTAGTCAAAATCCTAACACTAGAAATCGATGTGCAGCTATTACTCCCCGGCAACCGTGCCAAAAACTTGATATGGTCTAAGTTTTACCCACTTTTAGTAAACTGCAAGTGCACAACAATGCAGTTGTAGCACAAGAGGTTATCGAATCCCAAGGGAGTAAGTAAACTGCACTATAGAGTTCATGTTCGGATTAAGCTAAGCAGTATGTAATGTATATAATGCAAAATAGCAAAATAAATGAAAGCAGGCAAAATTTATTGATTGATCTAAGTTTCAGAATGCTAAAGGCGCTAAGTCAGGACAATTCGCAGGTTGAATCCGAGAATGTAGAATGCATGCAATCAGGAATGAATTAAAACCGTCTAGAACTTGAAACACAATTATATAACAAATCAATTCTCATTGCAGAAGTTATTTATGCCTAAATCACAGAGTTTCAAATCTCTTTGCAAACTTTAACATTGCAGTAATGATCAGGTTCAATTGTTCACAAAACTCCTAAGTCAAATCTCTTTGAAAATAGGCGTTTTGCTCATCTAATACTAGTTCAGATGATTAACAATGTTCTCACATCTATTAAACAACCTAGGGTTTTGAAATCCTGATGACTAGTCTAAGAAATCAATATGAATGCAAGCACAAATGAAGAACCAATAGATATTCCTAACAGTTTTGCAATTCTACAAACTCTTCATCAACCTTCGAAATACTCTAACTTAACTAACAGATTACTCAGACATGATTATGAAAACACAAAGCATAGCTGAATAAAACTGCATTAAAACAATAGAGTATAAGATAAAGGGGTTCAGAATATTCTCTAAAAGAGTACAGGATCTGTCTCCTCAAAAGCTCTGAATAAATCTCTCTCTAAAGCTCTCTGAATTCTAAGATACAAGATAAAAGCCAAAAGAATGGCTGAAAAGCCTAATATACAGGCTAAAACACGAGCTGGGGTCTTTTTGTAAATAATGGAGCTTCTGGGCCAAAAGTGTAATATCTTCTCCATCTTTTAATACAAGTTGCGATTTTTTTCAGATGAGGGTGACGAGCGTCACCCATAAATGGTGACGATTGTCACCACTGCAGGATAACAACTTCTGACTTGCTTCCTTCGGGGTTGATTCTTGCAATGATCTAAAAAGCTCCAAAACCTCCAATTGTGCTTCAGTCACACTATAACCTGAAAAGACTCTACTAGGACTCTAAAAAGACCAAAAAGACTCAATAAAAAGGACTAATACCATGGTTAAAAACCATAAAAACCATGATATATCACTTGTGCTCCAGTGGACGTCTCTTCGGAACTTGGATCTCTTGGTTCATGGGTGTAAGAAATCTTCTACTCCCTCTCCATCTAGCGCCAAATTGTATGAGCTGGATTTCACACAATAGAATTTGTCTATAAAAAATAAAAGAGGATGTAAAGATTCTTTGTAAAACCCAAGAACAAGGATCCAAATATGGTGATTTTATTATTGTGGCTCAGATAATCTTTTCGGTACAAGTGTATTGCTAAGTCTTTTGCTAGGTAAAAAGATATGTCTCTCTTAATGAACCAAGTATCCTATTTATACAACTCTTTTGCCGTCTAAGCAAGAATCTAGGAGTATATTGCGTAGATCCTCCTTCCATTCTCTCTTGATGGCTCTCCCTTCCAAAAGGCTTCGTCTTCAAGGGAAACCGTTGTTTCGGACCTCCTTGTGGGCTAGGGCTCGGCCTATACTCCAAATGCTTTGTCTCGGGCTTAGTTTTGGGCTCTTTTTCGGGCTTCACCTCGGCTCAAGTCGTTTCATAGGCTTTCAGCTTGGTTTCTGCACAATCCATGCATGTCTTGGTTTGGCTCGGTTTTGTGCATAGTTTGTACATGATTTGGTTCGGCTGAGGCGAATTGTGTTTAGTTCAAGCGAGGTGAAGATCCAGTTCGGCCCGGTGCACAATTTGTGCATGGTTTAACTGAGGCAAAGATATGTCTCGGTTTGTGCACAGTTTGGTTCAGCTCGGTTTCATGCATAGTCTATGCATAGCTTGAGATTTCCTCCACACTTAAAAGATTTCTTGATTGATCCCGTCAGAGTGAAAGCTGACCCCAACAGCATTACCTCAGAAATCCACATGGGACATTCGGCAATCTCCTCATATGTTAAGGACCTCCTCAAAATAATCAATGGAACTTGTAACAATAACAAGTTCAGGAATTATTTCAGAAATATGATTATCTTAACAGATACTTAGGCAAATGAAATAAGATCTAAAAGTCTTGGCTATGTAACAAATTGGATTTAATGTATCGTTCTTGTTTAATAACTTGGTCGACTAAAAAAAAAGAAACAAAATATTTTATTACTTGTAAATAACTGTCGACACTAGCACACCCGATACAAGAACCTCAGCAATAATCATTAGAACGGCTTATTCACAAACAACCAATATGACGATATAAAAAAGAAAGACTTAGCAACTTTCTGTTGGAAGCGGAGACTGAGAATCTAACGAACCCTCCTACAGTTAAGTCGGACCTCTTTACCATTCCCACTGATACTACTCATCTTGATCATGGATTTTACAAAAGCCTTCTCGTACTCTTCCATGGAACCTGCATACTTGGACACGAGTTTTTTAGTAGATGTTGTTGTTAGAAGCGCTTGGTCAGATGAGAAAAGTGATTGGCCTTGCATAAGCATCTTGTAGTAAATATTGTCAAATGACGTTGAGGTTGCATCCATGGTCGCTCCAGCGTTTTTCACTTTGTTATGGGTTGGGCAAATTCCGTTCAAGCTTGCCGCAAATGACGGGTTTAGAGTTGGGTCAATCTGTTTCTGTGTGTTGAAGTTGTGGATTCTAATCTGGAACGATGAGCAGTGGGCAAATCCTAGTGTATGTCCTCCCGCCATTTAATTAAACATTCCAAATTTATACCGTTATTACAAAATATATAATATTAACTCTAACTTTAAATATAATTTTAACATTTAAACTTATTTGAACAATTTTAGCATTTAGACTAAAAAAACTCACTTTAACTTTGTATTTGTTAACTATAAGGTTTCAAAAATTCACATGACACCCACAAATCTGTATATATATAACCTACCTTAATGGTTTAGATTGGTGCCTAAATTCCAATTATATCTAGAATCTGTAATATTATTGTCCCATATATGCATCATGTATGTTACATATTTTAGAATTGTTTAATATACATATAGTAATTGAACATCTAAGCCACATTTTGTAATCATGGTATAGCGGCATCATTGGCTTATATACTTTAAGTGAACGTGAGTATGTTTAATACCAGAGAGAACAACAAGATCATGCGTAGAGAGGCCCCTTTGGCCAAAGCTTTGTTGCAACTGAGAGAAGTTAAAAGTAGGAGCTGGTAGTTGTCTTGTTTCTACTGCCTTTGATATTCTCCCATCTTTTCTCCCTTTCGGCACTTCCCATGAAGGCTCTCCTGACTATAATTTCATTCACACAAATAAGTAGGTGGTTCATTAGAATAATCAAATAAAATTATAATTTGAATATATATGAGATGGCGGGAGACTAACGAGAGCAACTGCATCTCTTGCAGCGAGTGAAAGGATATCGGCACAAGAGACCACACCTGGACACTGCTCTTCTAATGCCTTCTTTGCATTGTCAATCACATAAAACGCATGTAGTGAGATGTTAGGAGGTCCGTCTTTCTCTGCTTTGTTCTTTCCCTTCCAGTCCAACAGAACCGACGCATCACATCCCTTTAATCATCCAAACAATTTCACCAACAATGTTATTTCTATAATATATACACATATAAGATGAAAGATTATGATCTGAAAGTACTCTGACGAAGCTGTCATGGAAATGCATTCTCAAGAGACCGGCAGGAACAGTTTTGCATTTGACATCGCGTTTTTGACTGCATTGGTAACAATGTAATCTGCTTGTGGACATGACTGGTCGTAGTAGTGCGGGTTGAGTGCTTCAACGTCAAAAGAAAATGCCAGGATAATTGTGAGAAGGAGATTGAGCAAATGTGCATTCATTTTTGAAAACTTTTTGGAATCTTAATTGCCTACCATACAAATTTTAAATTTTTGTTGCCCAAAAGAATGTATTTAGAGCGGATATTTTGGGTTGCTAGGTGATTGGGAATTAACAGGATTTTATAGGCATAGGCTGCATAGCTAAAGGTGTTTAAAGTTTTGGGTGATGGAGTTGTTAGTTAAACGATAAGGTTGTTACGCAAATCAGGTCATGATTCATGAAGACAAGACTCGTTTCGTTGTGGTGGAGTAGAGTTTAAGTATTTTTAATTTAGATTCTTAAACATGACAGATCAAAACGAAGGGGAATCTTCAGTACAGCAATAATATGTGTGTGGTACAAGAGAGATGTCTACGTCGGTAAGTAACGAACTTTTAAGAGTGGATAGATTTTGACATTTGAGACTGAAAACTTTAATAAAAAAACCAAGTAGAGACAATTTGATTGTGGACCTTGTGTTGTGGTGAAGTAGAATTTTTTATTTTTTTTTATTGCAAATGCTCTATATATTAAAAATTAGTTCCAAAGATACTGGGTTCGGGAGTCAGCTACTCTGGAAGTAAAGAGTTTACATGGAAGAAAATTAAACCACGGTCTTGAGCGCTCTTAGCGAGACGATCAGTCCGGACATTAAGAAGACGAGGGGTAAAAATTATAGAGAGGTTATAAATATTTTAGTGCAGGAACTCCAGTTTTTCAAGCTCTGTAGCTAGTGCCGGCCATTCTTCTTCTTCTTCAATCAAATTTACCAGCTGTAGACAATCTGTCTCAATCACTAGTCCAGAGATCTGCAAATGAATCAAAACTTTCATAGCCCATATGATGGCTTCCAACTCGGCATGAATTGGTGAAAGAGTCTGTGCTGATGCCGTTAGCCCATATAAGTGGGTACCATCTGCCAAATCAAGTACGAGACCTCCGCCAGTTGTGTGTCTGTCCTTTACCTAGGAGGCATCCACTTAGCATCGCGGTAGCACCTGACTAGTTTCCTGCGGCATATCCACACTTTGCACCTGGCTAGTATTTCCGATATCTCTAGTCTATGAGACCTGCTGAGCGACTTTCCACAAGTCAGCTTCTTGTGTAGCGATTTCCAGAGTTTGTGTTGGCAAAATGTCTTTGTTGTTAAAAACTTTCTCATTCCTGGCCTTCCAGATGTACCATAGGATCCAGGAAAAAATCTCCAAGGACTTTGCAGTGTCTCCTTGAGCTGTGACCCGGAAGAAGAGGTGTGCAAAGTTTTGGGATAATGTGTTACACGGGAAGATACCCGGAGGAGATGGGATTGCACTCATAGCCCATGTCTGTAGCGCTGGAGGATATTCAAAGAGTACATGATTGATTGACTCTATCTCCGCCCCACAGCGTTGATATCGGCTGTATGTCCCACAATGACGGTACGTTAGTTGGCTGTTGGTAGCCTAACTATCCGAGAGAGCTTGCCACAAGAAATGTTTTATCTTCATGGGTGTCTTTAGAGCCCATACTTTGCTCTTTAGGAGGGTAAAACTCGGTTCAGTAGCCATTGGTCGAACTTCGTTTATCCTCATTTATACCGCCACCTCATAGCTAGTTCTTACGGAATACATACCAGACTTTGTGTAGGCCCACACGTATCTATCTGGTTTGTATGTCCTACATGGTCTAATGCTCTTTATACGCGGAATATCTTCCGGATCAAAAAGTTGGTCAATGAGGTCTGTCTTCCACTTGGATGTATCTGGGTTAATTAGGTGATGGACATATAAGTCCAGATCTCTCCCCGCACCTGTGTCCAAAGCGGGTCTTGGTGGGCAGACTGGAATCCAGTTGTCAAGCCACACTCTCGTGCCTATCCCGGAATTTATCGATTTTCTCAAACCACCTTGGAGGAGTTCTTTTGCCGCCATAATACTCCGCCATCCATATGATGGGTTGTTGGCCTTTCCAATCTCCAGAGGTGTCGAGTACCGATAGTATCTCGCTTTTAGAACTTTCGCTAGGAGAGATGACGGGTAATGTATCAATATCCAGAGTTGTTTTGCCAAGAGTGCAAGGTTAAAACATTTAAGGTCTCTGAAGCCCAACCTGCCCTCTTCTTGGCTAACACAGATTTTATCCCAGGCGACCCAATGTATTCCTCGATTATCTTGTTTTGTACTCCACCAGAACCTGGATATAGCGCCACTTAGCTTTTTCAGCAAAGCTTGTGGGAGGAGGAAACATGACATGACATAAGTAGGTAGAGCTTGTGCCACCGACTTACTCAGAACTTTCTTCCCCCCTTTTGAGAGAAGTTTGGCAGACCACGCATTAATCCGATTGCTTAATTTGTCCTGGATGAAAGCGAAAACTTGATTTTTAGAGCCACAAATCTTATCAGGTAGCCCCAGGTACATACCCATACCACCTTCTTTCGAGATGCCTAGAGCTTCATTTAGTTCTGCTTTTTTCTCTGTTGAGACCTTACTCCCAAAGAGGATCGAGGATTTGGCACAGTTTAGGTGCGGTCCTGAAGTTTTCCCATAGCAATCAATAATCTTCATTAGCTCTTCACATTCTTTTTTTATCAGCTTTGCTGAAGAACAGGCTATCATCTGCAAAGAGAAGGTGTGAGATTGGGGGACAAGTTTGCGCTACTTTAATCCCAGTAATTCTTCCTTCTGCTTCCGCTCCTTTAACTTGAGCTATTAGCGCCTCTGTAAGAATGATGAAAAGGAAGGGGGATAGTGGGTCTCCCTGTCGTAAACCTCCTGAGGGTTGGATATTACCCTTGGCTTCTCCATTTAGGAGGACTTGATATGACACAGAAGAAATACACCATTTGATCCATGATATCCATTTTTCTGTGAATCCCAATTTCCGCATCAGTGCTACGAGGAGGCCCCACTCAACCTGATCATAAGCTTTACTCATGTCTGTTTTGATAGCTACGAATTTGGACTTGCAGATTGGGTTTGTTCTCATAGCATGGAAAACTTCCTGTGCCACTAGGATATTGTTTGTGATGAGACGTCTAGCTACAAAAGCTGATTGAGTCTCAGAAATCAATTTCGGGAGGAATTTTTTTAAGTCTTTTGCTTAAGATCTTCGAGATAATCTTGTAGCTGACGTTACATAGACTTATAGGTCTGAACTCTGCCATTTCTACAGGTCGCGCTGTCTTTGGGATTAGGCAGATGTTTGTCTGGTTCAGTCTCGAGTTAAAAGTATCTGTAGCAAAGAAATCTCTGACTACTCGGATGATATCCTTTGAGATCACTTCCCATAATTTCTGGTAGAACAGACTAGTCATCCCATCTGGTCCTAGAGCTTTCTCAAGATGAATCTCAAAAATTGCTTTTTTAATTTCTTCATCCATTGGGTAGTTCGTGAGTGAGCATTAATAATTGGGGTTACTTGCGCGGTAGTATACCGGAGTGCCTCCTCAAAATCTTGGGGCTGAGATGTTGTGAACAGGTCTTGAAAATAGTCAGCAGCAACTTTTTCCATTCCTTGTTCCGTCTCTACCCAACTTCCTGAGGCATTTTTCATTTTGATGATTCTGTTTCGAGCTCTCCGTTGCTTAGTCGTGGCATGGAAAAATTTTGTGTTCCTGTCTCCCTCCTTTATCCATGTCGCCCGACTTTTCTGTTTTCAGTAGAGTTCTTCTTCTCGGAAAGCAGCACAGAGGTTCCACTTTAACGTTAAGAGTTCGTCATTTGAGATCGAATCATCTTGTTGTGCAGCTTCCAGTTTTTCTTTTATCTCCTCAATCTTTTTAATATCTATATTGATATTTATATATTATTTTAATTTCTATATATTATCATTTCTATATATTATATAGAATATTATTTCTATATATTATCATTTCTATATATTACATAGAATAAAAAATACCCTGCTAACAACTACTATGTTTTATAATCATAAACAAATTATGTTTTATAATCATAAACAAATTTATGAAAAAAAATTTGGATGCTAATTTTTGTATAAATACAAAATTTTAGTGTATAGAAAATAATATGTATGTATAATGAGCAAATTTTATCTGGTCTAGTTTCTACCTTTCCAGTCATTCTTGATACAATTTTTAAATATTGGATCTTTCGTTATTTAAATCCCCCCACTCTCAATTATAGTCTCTAGTAAGCCTTCCTTCCCTAGCCATCTCTTATCAAATTTAAAATTCCTCTTAACCCTGCTTATTCGCGATTGAATACGAGCCAGAACTGGCCAATGGTCGGACCCCCACAATTTCAGGTACTCCACAGAAGTGTGGGAAAAAATGTGATGCAAATCTTCATTACCTAATGCTCTATCGAGTTTACATCAAACTCTGCCACTCCTTCTATTTCCAACCCAAGAAAAGGAGTTACCTTTTGTCTGGAATTCCACCATTCCGGTGTCTTCAAGCATAGTATTAAAGGAAATGAATGATGCATCTGGGCGTTTCCGGCCTCCTCTTTTTTCGTGGTGGCATGTAATCTCGTTGAAATCTCCACTCATAAACCATGGGCCCGTTGTCGTGGTACTTATCCGTGTAATATGTTCCCAGACAATTTCTCGGCACTCAATGACCAGATCACCATAAATGAAAGTCATAAAGACTGATTGTCCTTCAATAACAGCTTCCACGTCTATAAGACGATTATTGGAGAACAAAATCTTAACATCAAAAGAATCCAAAAACGAGCTAGTCCACCGCTTGTACCTTCCGGTTCCACGGTGAATATATTATCATAACCAAAAGAGAATTGAATGTCTTGCATAAAAGAAAAAGAATTTTTTGTTTCAGAAAGGAAAAGAAAAGAAGGGGAAAAACAACGGTGCAGCTCTCGAAGATGTTGTTTGGTCAGATAAGCACCTGCACCTTGACAATTCCATGAAATTGTATTCATATCTTCTTACTGGGTGGTTTCTGTGACACCACCGAACCTGAAACAGCAAAAGTCTTCTTGCTTAAAGCAGAAGGAAACACCTCATTGCGAGGGACAGATTTTTTACGAGAGGAGATCATGTTGTTACCCGATCCCTGTCTCTTTTTAGGAGATGGTCGACCTATGACGCTATTGAGCAGTTTCAAGGATCCCCCTCCTCTTACTTTGGGCTGCATGG